TGGCATTATTGTTGGTGTGTAACGTGGATTTAAACGTTTAAAACAACTTATTTTACTAAATACATTACTTAATCCATTACTTAATACATTACTTATTTTACTTAATCCATTACTTTTTAAAATAAACTATTTTATATTATTATTATTATTATTATTATTATTATTATTAGATTTATGTATCAATTTGTAGTTGTTAATTTTACTAAATTTGAACCATTTTCACTAAAAACAACTTATAACGATTTAGCTACGATTTTATAGGATTCTACATGATGTTAGTACGATTTTTTTACGATTTTGTATGATTTTATGAGCATACCTGAATTTGGCTCTTTGACGTACCCTAATGCACTTGAATTAGTAAGATTATGAATGACTACCCTTGTGAGGTGATCCTCCACCTAAAAAATAATCTTATAAGTTAGCTTTTTTGTAGATGTAGGTAGATTTCAGAATGTGAAATCAAACAGATGTTACAGATGTTTTGTAGCACAAAACATCATGTAAAAACAAAAATGTATTAGAAAGTACAAACAATGAGCAAGATACACAAATACTTCTGAACCATTAACATCATAATAATATAACAAAGATCTAGCCATGCCAGTAAGTAAAAACTGCCACGCAGATCAATAAAAGAAGCTATGATCTGGACATAAACTGTTGATATTACAAACAAATGGTTTTGGCTTGTTAGCTATCCGATATCAAAGTCGACACTAAACCATTTCCAAAGCATTTTTTGTCCAACCGCTTTTCACGAATACAAAGCCAGTGGTAACTATTTTTTGTGTTCCAGAAACCACATTATGAGTTATTCTTTTTGGTAACACTTCAGGAACTTCAACCTGTGGTGAAAACATAAATACTATACATATTGTTAACTCTGGTTCATTTCTCAAATCATACACTCCCACCCATGTTTATGACATACCGAGAGCTTGAGTGAAGATTTGATGGTAGGAGCTTGGTATCATCTGCTTGACTGGGTAAATTGTAAAATCAACCATTCTCCATTAATAGATTGAATTTGGCGTGTAGGTTGAGCTTGGATGTGTAGCCAAGAGATCTGACTAATGAAGTGGTATGGAGTCTCAACTTGCAATCATGGGGAGAGTACCGAAAGCCCACTCATAAATTATATGAGAGTATTGTGGATACACTGTGCAACTCACTTCTCCAAGACCTATGGGGATTGAAACATGGGTGTTGCTCCATTTATAGCTGCTGAGCTTGGCCAAGGCAATGAAACCAAACAGTGCACCTCTTATTCAACCAATAAGAAATGTTTATGGGCTTGAGGGGGAACACTATTTACTAAAATTTGAATTCAAAACAGTGCCAACCAATCATCCAGGGTTAGCCCACTTGCGCATCATAAAAATAATGTTTAACAAAAATTTTGGCCAATGAAAACAATCCAAATGGCATGGAAATCTTGGAGAAATCCTTACTGCTGTGCACCAGCTCACACCAACTTAATCAACCAATGAAAAACCATGGAGGAGATTGAGAAATCCAAATCAAATCAAAACAGTAACTCAAGGAATATCATCCACACATCTTACGTAAAACACTACCCCGCACAGGCCAACTTTATGAATTCTTAAACATTACACACTCACCAATCGTAAATCAATGAGCAATTAACCATAACCCTTTGAAAGCGATGTTTCCGAGCGGGAAAAGCAGGCCCCCTTTCATTTTGCTGTTAGATTATAATGGATTATTTTGTTGAAGTGTGAGTTTTTATGAATTTACCAGTCTTTTGCCTAACATGCCGGGTCTATTTTAGAATTAATAGGCCTGAGCCTGGCCTGTTGAAAAGTCTGACCCGAAGCCTGTTTAGTGGGCCTGTTAAGAAAAAAATCAAAAGTTCAAAAATATAAAAAAAAAAGTGAAAAATGCTTTTAACCCGATATAAAATTTGTCCCCCAAATATTCACTAAAAAGTCTAATAATATGTTAGGTTTGCTTTGAATGTATAATAATACGTTAATTAACACACTTTATATAATTGAAATAGTATTCTAATATTAAGTGTATAATTAAGTGTGTATTTATATAATACACTTCATAAAAATACTATTATCCTTAATTTCCTATACTTAATTATACTAATACTCCCTCCGGTTCTTAATTAAGTTCCTAATTTGACTTCACACATATTAAGAAATAAATTTGACTTTACTGTGGAGTGCACTGTAAAGTCAAATAAGGAAAGATTTGAAGTAGGAACTTTAATATGGACCATCCCAAAAAGGAAAGTATAAACTTAATTACGGGACGGAGGGAGTATAAAATAAATAAACAAATAAATATAAATATAACTAAATATATATTCAAAGATATATATACACATATAAATAGGCCGGCCTGTTAAGCTAAATAGGCTTTTAGAGTTGGGCTAAGTCTGGCCTATCCTATTTAGGTAAACGGGCTTTTCAAAAAGCCCAAACCTACTTTGATTATTAAACAGGTCAGATCAGGCAAGGCCACAGGCTCCTGACAGGCCGTCTGGCCTATTCCCACACCTAATGATGGATCATTTATGGTAACGAAAATTAACTAGAAAATTAATGGATTAGATTTCATCTAAAAAAAATGAATGGGGGAACTGTATTTAATGGATCACGGGTGAATTAGTTTTACTATGAATTTTTTCATGGATCAATGAATTATGTTATATCTGTTCATTGTAAATTGCATTCAGAAAAAAAAACACTTTAATAGAAAAACAATATTATGACTTTGTGGGTATTTAGAGAACCAGATGGGATGTTACAGTATTGGATCTACATGTTAGATCATGACAAAATTTAGGACACATTTACTTCACGGGTCACTAAATGGTGCTTTTTGAGACTCGCGTTAATAAGCGGCGCATAAAATAAGTAGTGTTGTAACCTCATGTTTACTTCAAAGGATTTAAAACACCGTTTAACATTAAAATGTTCAAAACAACCCTATAGATATAAAAACACACAAGCATTCATGAACACAAGTATATAATATAATATGTGGGATCACCTCGTACGTGTACCCATTCCCCTAATGCCCTACCCCGCCCCTATACCCTGTACCCCCACCCCTACTCCTACACCCTACACCAATTCCACACCCTTAACCCCTACCCCTACCATTACCACGACCTTACCCTCTTTCCCTACAACCCTTCATACCCATATCCATACCCCTAACACGTACCCTACTCGTAGGGGTGGGGTCGGGGTGGGGTCGAGGTAAGGGCACGTGGTATGGGGTTACGGGGTAGGGTTGGAATAGGGTACGAGTGGGGGAGGGGGGGTAAGGGGTATGGGTCGGGAAGATGGTGGTTTTGGGGTGGGGGATAGTAGGGGTGGGGTCGACGCATGGGAAGGTGGTAGGGGGTAAAGGGGTAGGGATAGGGGTCGGGGTAGGTAAACGTGGGGGTGGGGGTAAGGTAATGGGATTACACAACTATACTTGAAAACCGTTAAAATAATATTCAATTTAATTTCTTAACAATTAGACCATACTAAAATTAAAACCCATATTAATTAATCGATCAATATGTTTACCACATGTGGTTGACTGGTTGAAGATGATTATAAACAATTCAATGAGTTTCATACTATTTCATTTGAGCACGTAGATATCTCATTACAAAAAAACACTGGATTGACAGAGCTTTTTGTCAGGGATTTCCCAAAATTGGTAGGGATATGCCAAATCTATGCCAAAAACAGTTTGACACGAAATCATCGTCAAATCCATGTCAATCCCGTAATTTTTTTGTATTGATTGTGGTAGATTCCTCATTTCACTTTGATTTCTCTACCGCATCAGCATATTTTTCAATTCAAGCAACAAAAATTCCATCCAACGTTTATGTGTTACGACTATATTTACTAGTACAACAATGTTTAATGATAATAATCCTCTAAGGGTGCTTCTCATTAATGAAACGGATGAAGGGCATTTAAGATTACAATGTTTTAATCAAAGTCTACAGGTTATTGTGCATATAATAGATGGACATAATTGAAGGCTACTAACTCACATTCACAAATATAAAGTTGTTAGAAGATTGGATTAGATTAGATTAGATTATATAAAACCATTGATCATATTTAACTTTTGAGAAATGAATTCAATATATAAAGTCTACTGACTCTACTCCATCTATCAGGGATGGACCCGGACCGGGCCGGGCTAGTTCCGGTTCGGACCTGGGCCCGGCCGGGCTTATTTTGGAAGGGAGATCCGGAACCGGCCCGGGTAGGCAGCGGTTCCGGGCCGGACCGGTTCAATGTTTTTTTCTTTTGCTTTTCTAATTAACCCCCAACCCCCCGCTTACCCCCCACCCCCAAAACACCCAGCCCAACCCGGGAAAAACAAAAACAATTGAAAAAAAAAAAGAAATAGGCCCGGACCGGGCCCGAACCGGTCCTATGACCGGTTACCGGGCCGGGCGGCCCAACCCAAGTCCATCCCTATCATCATTCCCTCAAAATTTTCATTTATGATTGAAAATTTAAAAAACAAAAAATATTTTTTATGATTATTACTTAGAAAGTAAAATAAATAATAGAGTGTTCCTAATTTCCAATTTCGAATTTACATTATTTGTACTGTAATTACTGTTATTTAAGATAATTTTTGTTCTATTACCTTGACACCACTCGTATTACGCCTTAGCTTCTCCTAATTTTCTTTTCCAGTAGTGCATGTCATACAGAAAAGAAGTCAACACCCTCATTTTTTAGGGTCCCACAGAATCAATCAGACAATTAGCCAAGAGGATCTAAATTAAACTTTGATCACACACTGACGAACCGATGATGTTTCATTGCAAGTACGATAGTATTTGCTTAGAGTTGAACTCAAGATCTCTCTTTTACAACATCCTCCCCCTACTAGGTCAACTATGCCCTCAAGAGGATGATAGACCTGATTTTTTAAAATAGTGAGAATACCAAATTAATTTCAACTATGCCCTGAAGAGGATGATAGACATGATTTTTTAAAATAGTGAGAATACCAAATTAATTAGGAGTGCTTTTCATGTACAAATAATAGAGTGCTTAATAGAGCTATGCCACATGATTATACACATGAGAATACCAAATACAGAAGAGGATGATACACAAACATTATTAAAATATTTAATAAAACATCAAGACTTAAATACGTTAATAATAACATTCTCAGTGACAATGAGTGTTCCTAAGAACCATATCCGAAATGAAGAATCACTTTCCATGAAGAATTGCTCCGACAACAGCCTCAACTTCTTCCTTAACTCGCTCAAACATACTCGGTCCCTTAATTTCATCAACTGGTGTGTTCTTAGCTTTGTCAATGATGTTTGGGCATTTTCCTTCTTTCTCACCATGGTAAAAAATTGAAAAAAATAAAACAAGGAGATAACAGATAAGTTACTATGGCATGTTAGTTTTAACATGAAATCTTAACTTTTAAGTCTTTCTTTTACCAAATCTATAAACTGCATACATATAGCATGCTAAATTTAGAATTTGAAACCAAAAGTTTATCTTTTTACTAAATTTAAAAACTGCATACATATTGAATCATCTTAAAATCTGTACATACGCATGAAACATGTAATAAAACATCAAGAGTTAATTAAGAAAAATAACATTCTCATTGACAATATGAGAATGCTCCAAGAACCATATCCGAAATAAAGAATCACTTGCCAGGAAGAATTGCATCGACAACCGCGTCAAATTCTTCCTTAGCACGCTCAAACACATTCGGTCCCTTAATTTCATCAACTGATGTGTTCTCATCAATTTCTCCACTCCTTCCATGTGTTTCCTTGTCATGGTGAACCTCTTTCTTAGCTTTCTCATTGATGTTTGGGCATGTTTCTTCTTTCTCACCATGGTAAAAAAACAGCAAAAAATAAGACAGAGAGATAACAGATAAGTTACTATGGCATGTTAGATTTAAAATAACATCTTAAATTTTAAGTTTTCCTTTTACCAAATCTATGAACTGCATACAAATAGCATGTTAAATTTAAAATTTGAAACATAAAGTTTATATTTTTACCAGATTTATGAACTGTATACAAATTGAATCATCTATAAATCTGTATATACAAACATGAAACATGAAATAGAGAATATTGGATGGAAAATAAACTATGATTGAATCCAAAGTTTAAAATTTAAATCTCAGGATTTAAGTTATTTACTAAATTTTTGAGCAGCGAACGAATTGACTTCTTAACATAGTTGGGGGACATACACCTAGATCAATTCAACGACGAAACATCAAGTGCAAAAGAACATTAATCTTTCCATTTTTCACGATCAACAGATCATTCTACCGAGACTAGTTTACACAAAAGCCCTAGGCTTTAATTTTCGGATTGAAATCATATTAATTAGGCCATCAGTGCAAGTTGATTCCAAGATCGAAATATAGTCCGCGATAAGTTTTCAAACCTAAAATCTGGAAAATAATTGAGAAAAACTACTCAGATCAGATAGCTAATGATTAGAATATGCAAATCTGTACCTGAACGTGCGGATTCCGCCATGATAGTCTGGTTGATGACTGGATGAGAGAGCCAAGGCGATCCTTTGCTGGGAAGGCAAAGGGTCGTGATTCGTGAAGAAACGGGAAAAGAAATATTTAGGGACGGTTTGCTACTTTTCCTTAATAAAAAAACACTTTTTAAAAAGATGTTGAAAAAAAAAACAAAAAAAAAACGAAAAAAAAGATGTTCGAAAAGATGATCGTGTTTGAGAAAAAATGATTTTGAAAAGTAAAAGTTGACAATTTTGGTAAAATAAAGATGTTTTTACTTGGACTGTAAATTTCTAGTCTGGTGTGGTCTGATTTGGTCTTGTCTGGTCTGAACTGGTCTGGTCTGGTTTCTTTGAATTTTTATAACTACCCAAGTCTGGTCTGGTCTGGTCTGAGACAAACTACAGTCCAAGTAAAAACATCCTAAGTACTTTTTGTGTAGAGAAGTTCCCGAATAGGACTAAGAATTTTGAAATATAAAAACATACTCCCTCCGTCCCTTATAACTTTGCCAACTTTCCTTTTTTGGACATCCCACTAACTTTGCCACTTTCCCTTTTAAGTAAAGAATTTGTGGTTCCAGTTAATTCTCTCTCCTCTGCACAAACCTCAACCACACAGTTTTTACTTTATTAATCCCCGTGCCGGTCAAACTTGGCAAAGTATTGAGGGACGGAGGGAGTATGACTGTCATGTTTTTATTCCCAAATAAGAATAATTACTGTCAAGTTTGGAAAATAGTGTCATGTTTGAAGTCTGGTATTCCCAAAAAAATAGTTCTATTTTAGGAATAAAAACATGGCAATCTTATTTTGGAATTTTCAAACCTTTTTAATCCTATTTCGAGTAATATTCTCTTTGGTGTAATAGAAAAAGTAAAAAACACTTTTCACCCAAAAGACGAGAATCGCTTTTCTTAAATAGAAGTTGTCATTTGAAAACACCGTTTTTTGCTTTTTTAAACCAAAAACCGTGAAACGTTTTTTTTAAGTGTTTGCAAACACTCCTTTAGTGGGCCTTAATTTGGATTTCATTAGGCCGTGTACTGACTTGACTACGTATTTCAATTTAATACAAACATTTCACTTTTTAATGGGCTTAAAAGATTGTTGTCATTGGGCCAAAGTTCATCACAACCACTATGGATTCAAGCTAGACGGCTACAGCTAGCATTTTTTGGCGAAAAAAAAACATAACATTAATCAATCAAATCATTTCCCACCTGACTTACAATATAATCAAGAATAACTTCAAAGCTTCAGTTAGCATTTTAAATCAAAAAACCAAAAATGAAAGGGCAATTCTATACACAGTTACTTAATTGCTAAGTACAGCCACGTTTAATTACAATTCCTAATGTACCCTCCTTTACGTAACACTGTGCTCATTCCAAAAGTTACTCAGCAATTCATCGTGAACGCTGTGCGTTTGTAAGCTTGGTGCAGATCCCAGAGGAACACGAGGATTACTTCCGAGATGGTGATGATTATATATATACAGTAGAGTGGTACACTGAGAAGGGGTGAAGACGACCTCTTTTCTCTGTGGATCATCTTTATTCAGGCACCGGTGAATGAGTATAGTAGAAGAAACTGGCAATTATGGCTATCCTGTTTAGGAGCATGTGGAGTCGGTTGATGATGAGATTGGTTGACAATTGACAACACTCGAAGATGGTTTAGTGGTGGACTGGTGGCACCGCCGTATTGGCAGCCTCTCTGCTGAATTTACTCATCCCGTTCGGCCGCCTGCCTCTTTCAACAGTGTATAAATGTGTGTAGAAATAATCAACTGTGAAAGTGCGTTCGTTGATTCATAATATGAGGCCGGCGAGTGGTATTTATTTCAGCCGTGTAAAACTTTTGGTTGTCTTCCTCCACGCCGGTGTAAGAGCCTTCTCTAGCAATTTCACAGACCTGTCTAGAGCGACCGTTAATTACTTCACTGTTTGGAGTTGCAGCCGTTGCTTCCCAGCCTTCGCTGTTTGGAGCTGCTTCGGTGAGTTCGGTCCCTGCATCCATTGGTGACTGAAGTAGATATGGGGTAAGGGTAATTTAGAAATTTAAATCAATTTTGTGATTGTGAATAACAATTTGGTGGCTATGAATAGAATTTCCCAAAATGAAATTGAAATATTGAACCAAGTAAAAACTAAATCCAAACTGAAATGGCGCCATGAGCGTTGCCCGAAAGTCGATACCCGGATGTGAATCAATTTAACAATGTTGTGGAGGTTAAAAACGATTCAAATGGAACTAAACTGTTATTTATTTAAATATTTTAATTTTTCCTAGAATAAGGATTGTAGTCATGTTATCATATGTTACTCAGTGTTATAATAATAATATAACCATAATAGTGATAACATTTATTGTAAACAACAACATCAATAAGAATATAAACCTAAAGTTTAATAGCATGGTTGATGAGCTAGATAGATAGAAGTGCCCGAAGTATTATGATTATAATGAATTATATCCCTTTACAATATAAGACTATACTTCATATTTAGAAAAGACGTTATGGGTTTAGATACTGGGTTAGGCCCAATACAATAAACATTGTCAAGATATACCGGTCCAAGATAATATCTTATACCATCTTATAATGGGCAATGAGGGTTAGGGTATTTTAGTGATGGAAAAAATGTTGCTGTAATCATCTAGCTTAGTTATGTGGTACATTATGCTTCATCATTTAACTTGTACTCTATTAAAAGAGTTTCACTCTCGGTTATATTTCCGTTTATCGCTCCTGCAGTTTGCGGCCATTCATCCCCATCTCTCAGCATCAACCCACCGTTCGATTTCTTTGCCCCGCAGACTCGCAGTGCAGTGACCTACGCCATAACCTCATTCAGGTTCTCCAAACCTAGCCCTAACCTCAGCCTACTGCTCCGGACTCCCATCGTTCCCGTCTTATGTGGTAATAAAGCGGCGGCGTTGGCTGAAAATCAAGCTTTCATTTAAACTTTAGTGTGAGTATGTGTTTCTGTTTATTTGTGCCTATCGTCTATTGGAAGCCTCTTGGTTTTGACTAGATACCAGTGGTTTCAGGCTCTCGCTCAGCGGCGGAGGTGGAGGGGTGGCCAACCGGTGATTTTGACTAGATACCATAAATAAACAAATAGAAACACGAAGATACTACCACATAATCTTGGTTGCCTAGCTATTTGAAAAAAAATTAAAAAGAAAAACCATGTGAATATCAAGGAGTGGCCTTTGATGTAGTCAACAAAACAAAGAATTTGAAAATTAAATTTTAATTGACTAATGGAGGTGCAGAGAAGCTTGAAAGGGAATTGCATGTTTGCTCAGCTCAACTAAAACGACTTTCTAGAAAATGGTGATGAAGAAAATCAGTCTCCGCCTCCTCATAACAAATAAAATCAAACTATTAAATTCAAAAATTTGTAAAATTATCTTTTACACTAAAAAGAATAAGGGAGAGAATTCGTAAGAATTCTTACTATATAAATTTTAAAATTGCTTATATTTTTAATGTAAAATTTTGTGTGTGAATATTTATCTGTAAAAATTCTTTGTACCGGCCCAGCCCAAGTCTTACTCCTAGCTACGCCCTTGCTCTCGCTCTTGATTTGATGCATATATATTCTTCATCCTATTGTTGCTTAATTGTCTGGATATTATAGATATGTTATGTTTTTATGGCCACTGGTGTTTAAAATTTTTGGATTCTGTTTTAAGCCAAGTCGATATAGCAATCAGATAATAGTGTTGCTTTGGTCACGAAATATTTAGCCAAAGATCTTTGAGCTTAGGATTTTAATTCTTTGCACAATCTCCGTATGAAGATCATAAGATGAGCCTAATACTTGTCAGCATCATTTTTCTACATGTTTGCTACAAGTAGTAACATAGTGCATGGTTTCTAAATTGCTCTGTGTAAGTATACTTACTAACACCACCGTTAGTAAGTCTATTGGGAAATGTGGTAATGTACTTCCATCTTCAATGCTTATCTCCTTTGGATTCATTGCCAATCACCACGAGTTTTTAGCTCCATTGTTTTTCGGTCTCCATTTAGGTGTAAATGATACGTAGTATTACATTGGTTTACAAAAGTATCAATAAAGTGAAAATAAATAAAGTGAAAATAAAGTAGGAACTAATAAACTTCAAATTGAAATAACATAAAAAATCAAATTAAAATAGTGAATAGTATATGTTTTCTTTCTAAATTTAGTAGTGAATAATCTATTTGCTTGACCAACTCATTTAGTAGTGAACCACATGTAAGTAATTAACTAACTATGTACTACTGGCTTAACCGTTTAAGCCATTGTGACCATGCTGTTGGTCTCAGCCAATTGTTTTATAAGAATTCCCATATCAGTTCTGGAAATAGTTCAACATTTTTGGATGTAAGCACATACACATTGTGTATTGGTTAAATGTAGGCCGGCATACGTTTACCGTGGACAATACGGCCGGCGTACCGTGGACTAAATGTAGGTTGGCGTACCGTAAACGCAACAGAAGAATATGGGAAAGCATTTCTTGCATCTAAAATTAAAAAAAATGTTGACTGAACAACACATTTTGATTCCTTTTATATTTATATTTGATGCTTCCCCCATTTTTTGCTTTTTTGAAACCGTGAGTCGTTATGCAACTGTCAAGTGTTACTTAGTACTTAGTTTCATATGGAGAGATTGATCTAAGCTAAAGGCCAACCCCTCCTAAGCCCTCCAAAAGCCAAACTATTAAGTGTTACGTACTTGTTAAAAAATCAGCCCTCATTGAGAGATAAAAATCTCATTTAAGTGCTTCAGATTTTTAGAACATATCTCTTGTAAGGATGCCTTCATCCACCGAGCTTCCCTTTATGAAGTTCATGATCTTTTACATTATTTTAACCCACATATATGAACAATGGAAAGAAAAAAAATCTTCTTTATGAAAGTACCAACATTTTTAAAAACGGGCTAAAAGTGTCTTAATGTGTTGATGGTAATTGCCTTAACTTTAGGTTTGATTGTGATATGTAGTAAAGGCAAGTGCCGTATTTATCTTCCAGGGGCTTTTGAGCTTTGTTTACTACACTTTTAGGCCCTTTTCTCCCACCATATCAAATGATTGGTAGAATTGAACCAACTCTACAACTTAGATTTTTGAATTAATTCCACTTTTGGTCCTATGAGTTTTGTGTCAATTCCACTTTTAGTCCACGTCTTTCACTTTGTCCACTTTTGGTACTTGACTAATGTTTTGAAACCGTTTGTGGTCCTTTTCTGGAGATTTTAACCCTCGGAAACAATGCCGGAAGGACAATATATGGGCAAAAACACAATAGTCATGTATCAAAAGTACACAAAGTGAAAGATGTGGACTAAATGTGGAATTGACCTAAAACTTTTTTTTTTATGGAAATTGACCTAAAACTTGTAGGACCAAAAGTGGAATTTATTCTAGATTTTTAGCTAATGCCAAAATAATACTACCTCCGTCCCAAAAAGAGTTGCAAATTTGATTTTTCTTAGTCAAACAGTCTCGTTTTGTTCACTTAATTAGGATGTCGATTTTTAATTATTTTCTAATTTGGAGTTTACAACTTTGAAGAGATTTTAATGTAGTTTTTGAATATGTAAATGTTAATTATTAAAAATTGAATTAATTTTTGGTTGACTTTTATTATTGGTTGACCAAAAAATGTTGACTTTGCAAAACAAATTGGGACGGAGGGAGTACCAAACAATTTTTGCAATCCCGAGCAAAAAAATCAATGCCAAAATGCTTCTGCAACATTGCGCAATACTCTCTATCTAATTGTATTCGACCTACTATGTTGTATTGTCTCTTAATTCATTGACAATTTCTTCACCACCATGCCCAACCCGTATATATCTTTCCTCAAGATATTTTTTTTAATATTTATTAGATATTTCCATATGTTTTTTTAAAGAAGATATTTTCATATGTTCTATTCATCGTAATCCATATGTAGAGGTAGAGTTAATGGGATACTTGAAATTCAAAGTTCCTAGAAAACATGCATTGTATTTAAAAAGATTAAAAAATTCAAAGTTCCTAGAAAGCATCAGTATTTAAATACTTAGTATGTATGAGACATTTCTCGCTATACGTTTTCTTATGAAATTAGGAAAACATGGTCTAGCCCTTATGTGGGTGTCAGGGTGCGCATTTCTTATTTTATTCGGCCATCTTTTATGAATCATGATGAAGGAGTGTTAAATACTCTATTTCTATCTAAGTTGAACCCAATGTTAACACAATATAATTTAATACAATTAGAAAAAATAACTTTAATTTTGTAATTGTAGTGCTCGGGAAAAATGTTGACACATTAAAGCCTAAAAAGTGACAAATAAAAAAAAATTATTTGATAATAATAAAAAGTTAAATTTTATTAAATTATTTGAAAATTAAGAGCCTAAGAATAGAATTTCACCAATACCGTTAAATAACTTATGCCTTGTTTAACTACAAAATCTTATAAAAATAAAGAATCAATTTTTGAATTATACTTGTGGTTAATCATGGATGTTTGCAAGTCACGATGAGTCTTTTTAATATTACAATAATATGTACAATATTATCTATTTTAGATTAATATTATGTTTCTACTTCTTATGATGATGCATACTATATTTGTATTAATGCTATAATCATTTAATTATTTTACTTTTTTAATAAATTGTTTTTTAGAAGTCAGAACTAAATGAATTGAGTAATCTTAATATCACACAAATATTAATATTTCGAATGGAAAATAGCACTAATCTAAACATAATTGTACAAATAGAAGTAAAACCTAAATCTTCCTTAAATAGGACTAAAACATAATTTTCTACCTTAGTACCCAAAATCTAATTAGTTAGATGCCCCTACTTTCCTTGTATAACTGGGCAATTTGTTGGTGGGGACAGTCCGGTGATAAAAGGCGGCAACCGGCGATCGAGTTAGAATGGTTACAAATGCAATCCGCAAATTTTCGACAGTAAGGCGGCATCGGTCGGTCTCTATCCAGTGATTGTCCACAGTAGGTGACAGCAGAGGGTGGTGGCACGGTTGGGATATATTTGTCCAAAAGTACATGATTACTTCTATTTAGAAATTCAAAACATCTGGATTCTATTTTTGCATTTAACCCACATTTTACTCTTATTTGAGGAATTCACCCTTTTAGATTTATTTACAAATTGTCTAAGAATTATTTAATTATTATGTCTAGTATTTCATAGTGCTTCATCTTTACTATATAGAGTACTGATTATCTACTAAATATCAATTAAACATAATAAAATTGGGTTTGTTATTGAATATAAGAGCCTGTTTACTAACGAAGATATTTTCCTATTTTCTACTTCTGTTTTTCGTTCTCCAATTTTCTGTTTTTATTTTTCAGTTTTTCTATCTCCAATTTTCTATTTCTATTTTTTAGTTTTCCATTTTCAAATCTGAAAACATTTTCTCCAATTAGTGTTCTCACGTTAAGCACCATTTTCATTTGATCTTTATTCTCTCTCTATGTATGTGTGTGTCTATATATATATATATATATATATATATATATATATATATATATATATATATATATATATATATATATATATATATAGATTTAGGTTCAAGTGAGAAAATCATCTTAGGAGAGGAAAAAAGAATGATCTTGAACCGTTGGATTGAAACATTATTTACTTTAATTAATTAATTCGTATGAGGGTACATACGTAATTCACTTTTCTTTCCTTCTAAACCTTATTCCTACGTTATAGAATGTGATAAAGTCAATTCTCTTACTTCAATTATTTCTGTCTATATCCATTTAATTTCCCTTCTTCTTCTCACCATCCACCTTTCTCCACCACCAATTTAACATCATTAACTTAATCTCCATTATCATATTCACGACTCTTTCCTGCAATTGTCGACGTGTAAAATAAATTTAGATATTTCTTAACCTAGTTTTCTAAAATTCACGACAATTCTCTGAACAATATTCTCCTCTACATGTAGATATTTCTTAACCTAGTTTTCTAAAATTTTCGTTGCAAAAAAAATTTCTCTCACTGTGGATCGAGTGCTCAGCTGATTCACTTTTCCTACAATTCCCTCCAGTACATTCACGACTTATGTGCTCCGAATAATTCATTGCTTCATATTGGTGCACCGTTTTTCCTTAAATATCTTGCTAATTTAATTATGCATTTGATCATTTTTAAATATTTCAAATGTGATTCGTTGAATTTGATGCAATGATATATGTTTACTCTTGCACATTTACGTATGACTATTGTACACTTTTTGGATTTGTGATTTTGCACTAAACTAACTTTTAAATTTGTAGTTTTGCACTAGCAATTAGTGCACCTAAATTGTCATGTGATGCATTTTACATGTTTGGTATGGAAATAAAGATGCATTTTCTTTTGCAGATACGGTGCAGTGTCAATGGAGCAATTATGGTTCATTTGGAAGAAAAAGTGCATTTGATTTTGTAAAAAGATGTCAATGTAAAATTATAGAAAATTTGATATAACAGTGCACTTTTGAGTTTATTCCAAGGCACATGATAAATGTGCATTTTATTTTGTAAAAAGGATGTAAGTAGATCTTTAGAAAGTGTTATATAACGGTGAACTTTTGGATACATTTGAAATGCATATTATAGTTGTTAGTTTACACCCTTGTATATGTATATTCATTTTTATTTAAAATTGTTT